TGATTGGGGGTAGGGTATGTGGATGGGAGAAAGGGTGTGTGGTTGGAGGTAGGGTGTGTGGATGGGAGGTAGAGTGTGTGGATGGGAGGAAGGGTGGGTGGATGGGAGGGAGAAGTAATTACTGGTGTGCCCATCAGTCACACCGTCGTAGCCATGAACGGCAGAGATATGGTCGGTGCAGTGCTTTTATTTACCCGTTACACATCTCTCACCATGCTTAATAATATTAACTGTCTTCATGACATTCTTATTGTTATCAGTGATTGCGGAATTCACGATGTTATGCTCCACCTACACACAGCCTGTTACTAGACTAACCCCCACCTCCTCTATCCCCCACACACACACACTACAGTGGGCGACATCTGTTGGCCGACCATAGCATTTCCCCCAGCTGTTTCGAAACTTCAGACTCAAGGCAATTCGAACCCTCACTGTGGCTGGGTAGTGGATACTTTGGTGCACGATGGTACATTGAAATGTGGTTATCTTCGGCCTTTTTCTATATGGCTCTTAGAGATTTTGACTGAGATACAAACATACGAGAAGGTTTCTTTCTTGGTGGTTTATGCTTCTCATCTGTTGAGTGAGCCCGACTAGTTCTGACACTTGATTCTCACTATGTCGAATATTATTTTGAATGGGTTCTGTGATAATGTTCTGTCACTCTCAGAAAGTGTTTCTGGAAGTTCATCCCACAACCAGAGCAGTAGTGAGTTCTGATTGCCGAATGAGGCCATCTGGGGTTACAATGTCTCCCACTTATTTCTGGAGCAAGGTTAGTCAATTTCTTTCATGGTGTGTTGACTTATGCTGTGTTCCATGCGATTTAAAATGTCTGCCACTTTCCTGACTCGGTTATACTCTTCTGGGCAAGACCCAGAGTGAGATGGTTCCCTGGCTTGACTCGCTATTTGCCCACAGCATCTATCACATCATCACAGACAATGAATTAGTTTGTAGATATTTTCGTTATTTATATCAGCAGTTTTTCCAGTGTGAAGGACTTTGAAAAAGGGAAACATCTCGCTTAAATAAGCGTTTTTAGAGGGCCGGACCACCTAGGTATCTGAATAACCTTAAAAGGCCCATAAGCTTAGTCGCTTGATTTAACTTCTCCTCACAATGGTCCTCTTGTATGAAATAATGAAAGCATTTAGGGCAGATTTAGTTTAGCCTCTGCACAGGTACTGGGGCTAGTTTATTGGGCACCCCCCATACTTTGCCTAACAGGGAAGTAGGTGCTCAGTCTTCATTGTGCTGCTCCTAATTCATTATTAAGTCTATGGAACCCACTTTCACCACCCCTTTTTTTTTATTAAAACCCTGTCTTGCATGGAAGTAATTTTTGGGATTGTAAAGAAAAGAAGTGTTACTTTAAGAATAATATCAAGTTCGTTGTAACAGAATAAATAAAACATAGAATACATCAAAATCGCCTTTATTGTCTCTGAATATATGGCTTCTTCCTCCACTGGAGTCTCACGGAAGAACGGCGCAGGTAGCAGTGGAAGCACCAACATGGGGGTCAGGGGGGTGGGGAGCCCACTACACTCTGCTCGCGAGAGGAACTGGGGTATGTGGTGGTAATATACAGATAGAAGTATTATGTATTGATCTCGAAGGGTAACCCAAGAAAAGCCAGGAGATGAAAGGAAAGCCAGAAAATTGAGAGGGAAGGGGGATGTTAGGACCCATGAGAATAACCACAGGTAGTCATCCTAAGGGGTCAGCCAGTATTAGTAGAGGTACGCTGAAAGAGGTAATCTGGAGGAGGTGACTAAATAAATGATAACCTTGGTGAGAAAAACCCAATGGAGGTGAACGTGGGTTTGGGGATAATTGACTACAATAATCAATTAGTGAGAGAAAATGCGGTCGGACATTAGTGGTAACACAGACATGAAAATGATGTATAAATCCCACGTGGGAAAGGGGTTTGGTAGGTAGGAAACAAAGAAATTACTGTACTGGATAACTTGTTTAGTTATTTAATGGAGAAGGAGTGTAGAAGAGGGAGTAAATGAACCACAGAGCCAGTCCAGGCATTATAAAGAGTTGACTTTTGTGTTGAGCAGAGTGTAATGGGACTTACAAAGAAGAGGATTTAGCGTCCAAATATACGAGGAACATCTGGTTGCAACACTACTCCAACCAGGTGATTTCTAATGAGTGATTACGACACATTCTTAAGTTATTCTCTGAGACTCCAAGGAAGACTATTTACAAAAAGCTCATCTCTAACTCTGTACATAGAAAATTCATATAAACAACATGGAAATCTTTATGACTGTATCAAATGTGTTGCCATCAAGTGTAATATTTTTTGGTTAGGATTTTTATTTATTCTGAAAGAAACTAGGAAGACCATCTTGCTCTAAACATGCAAAGAGGCTTTCCTGCACATTCTGGTAATAAGGCAGCTGATTGATCATGGGATCGAATCTTTAACATTCCTGATTAGTTAGTCCTTATAAACACAAAGCCTTACCTATTTGTGATTGGCCGATTCACATTTATCAGATTCATCACTTGCGTGTGATTGGTGAACAGCCTTTGCACCATATGATCAATGGCAGTTTATAAAGGAAAGAATCTTTGGTACCCAGAGCAAAATCTAATTTAGAATTAACAAGATATATTTCAACAGTGCTCATAAAATAGTAATAGGAACACTAGGAGAGCTACTTTGCTATCTTTGTTCAGTACCCAGTGTCACATCTTACAACACTGTCACGACAAAACTTAAAATACCACCAAATTGTTGACATAAAACAATGTTGTTCATCCAATTACTCTTCAGACACTGCTGACATAGTCCGATACTTTTTAACAGGTATCCTGAGAAACTGCTCATCTCTAATACATAATGTACAAAACATGAAGCAATGTACAGCTGGTGTGCATAGTGGGCTGCTGCATAGCTGGACGGCGGGATGACACCGTCCACAACATACATGCCGTCCACATGGCCCTGTCACTCTCCCCAGCCCTCACTTGTCTACCAGTACACACAAGCAACATCATGTTTACATGGTTACTCTCAACACTGTTCATACCTCATGCACGGTAAGTTTTATATTTTCTCTAATTACTATATAATATTAGATCCTGAAGTTACTAGCAAATGACTATATAGAGGAGTATATAACCCAGAGCGAGTGAGCGAGGACGATGCGAAGGTGTATGAGGGCTGTGGTGCCTCCCGTAACGAGGTGCCTCTGGGGGTCAGAACTGCCTCAACTACCACAGAAAATGACATATCACTGTTGGTGCTGTTGTACCAACTGTACCAAGCACAAATGCCACTCGGTAACTTGCAATCTTCACACAAACTTCTGTGTCGGAGTGTGATGTTACAAGTCTAGCAGCAGTGGTTCTTATACCAGCAGAAGCAAGTTTATATAGAAGGGTTTGAGGCTACCATATCAGAAGCTGCTGAACAAGAATATCTCCACACAGGTCTTCACTTTCTTGCTTCTGTCAATCCTTCCAAGCAGGAATAAAGTGGTCACTCAAGTCAACTTTCACTTCTGCCAATCCTTCAAAGCATAATCAAGTTGGTCACACAGGCCATCATTCACTTACACTCTGGCAAATCTTTCAAAGCAGGAACAAAATTGGCCTTTGTCTTTATGGTGTTCATCCTTAAAGACATTCCATTCATGTAGGAATCACAAAATGTGACCCACATCAGGCATGATTACGGTCAGATCCACACCTCAGGGTACCGCTGGCAGGCACATCATGATGAGGGCTGAATGTTTGTTTCATTACTTGAATTTAATTTTCCACAAAGACTAGATGAAACCAACTGGGCTAATCTATACAAGAAATAATTAATGTTGTTACTGATGATAGACCCCGACATTCATTCACCTCTGTCACCTCATGCCTCCCCAGGCAGCCTACCAAGGAGGCAGTTTGTGGTTAATGCACTTGGATTTCGATTGAGACTGTACTGGGATTCCCTCCTCTGTTGTATGTGTCTAGTAATGTACCAAGCACTTTAACCACAAGTTGTAACTGCTGGCTCTAGACTGTCTAGGAGCTTAACTGTCACAGCTTATGGTTGGTAGCCACATGTACTTGTGCTGACACACCAGAATATCAATACCAGTACATTCGTACAAAGTCTCTTATGCTACAGTTTATGGCAATATCACACAATTGTAAATAAATAAACTATACAACATCTTCCATGACACAAAATCTTACTATAAACCAGATCTCTTTAATCCACTTTAGAACTGAATTTCTATGTACAAAACCAAGAATGTCGACCATGAAGATCGTAACAATGCAGACGTCGAGGGTCTGTCTCACTGGGCATGCACCTGTGGCATAGAGCTATAAATATCTTAGGGGAGGTAACATCTATTAGGCATGATACTCTAAACAAACATGGACGAACTGTCTGAACACTTAGTACAAGTTAAGTGTAGCTGCTACACGGTCGTCGTCTTCGTCGTCGTCTAATCTAAACACAAGGTCAGAAAGCTCGTGGTATTGTCAACTATCATGCTTTTCTGAAGTTACACATCGTTTGTGGTGATTGTCCTACAGACTATGGCACGTGGTCTAGGCCACTGCAATGCTTGCTCCATTGCATTGCTAGACTGATGAACATATTGCACACAACACGTCCACATCCATCAGGCTCTCTGAAAGCTTCCTGTGAACCACAAAGAGGCAAAGGAGAGCATAGTTCAAGCATTTACAATGACACTTCTACTAGCACTTCTAATCATGCGCATCTTCTTTATTTTGTACAGGTAGAGGTCAGAACAACTGACATTAGTTGGCGTCATGAGTTTAAGTTTAAAACATTTCACGTCAAGCAATAGTTCAGGCACAGATCCGAATACAACTGAAGTTCACCGTCATTATACATATGTTGATAGAGCTCTGTTATTGGCTCTCATAACAATCACACTCACATACTTCACAAATTCATCTCCGGGGAAAGAGCTTGGATAACTAGGGAATATTTTAGCCCAGGAGTTACAGATACTGGGAGTGTCAACACCCGCGAGAATTGCACACAGCGGAAATGCAAGAAGAAGAATAGCACATTAGACATCCAGGGCCTCGCCCTGAGGTGAATGTATCTTGTCTAAAATAAGAAGTGCAGCATTTCCAGACTAGGCACTGCACGTTAAGAGGGGCACAGCTCATATCCAGGCACCGGCGTGACTTTCAAGGACATGGGCGGCATCTGGTCGACCCATGACCCGTAGGACGTTGAGGAGGTCGGTAAGAGCATTGGGCTCCCTGTGGCGCGCCTCCCACAGATCCAGGATGTGCTCTGTAGGACTTGCCTTACAAGCAAAATAGTTCAAGTACCTGCAATAAATACAAATGTTCAGTTCATTCTCATTATTTAAAAAAACACCAAGTAAGGTACAGATAGAGAGGGGAAGAGAGAGATCAAGAGGGGCAGAGCTAGAGATCAAGAGGGAAGAGATAGAGATCAAGAGGGGGGAGAGAGAGATCAAGAGGGGGAGCTAGAGATCAATAGGGGCAGAGATAGAGATCATGAGGCAGAGATGAGATCATGAGGGGAGCTAGAGATCAAGAGGGGCAGAGATAGAGATCAGAGGGGCAGAGATAGGGATGAAGAGGGGAGAGATAGAGATCAAGAGGGGTACAGATGACAAGAGGGAGCTAGAGATCAAGGGGTAGAGATAGAGATCAAGAGGGAGAGATAGAGATCAAGAGGAGATCAAGAGGAGCTAGAGATCAAGAGGGCAGAGATAGAGATCAAGAGGGGAGAGAGAGATCAATAGGGGCAGAGATAGAAATCAAGAGGGGGAGGGGGGGAGAGAGATCAAGAGGGGAGCTAGAGATCAAGAGGGGGAGATAGAGATCAGAGAGCAAGAGAGGAGAGAGATCAGAGAGAGAGAGATCATAGGGGCAGAGATAGAGATCTGAGGGGAGCTTAGAGATCAAGAGGGGCAGAGATAGAGATCAAGAGGGAGATATAGAGATCAAGAGGGCAGAGATAGGGATGAAGAGGGAGAGATAGAGATCAAGAAGGGGTACAGATGACAAGAGGGGAGCTAGAGATCAAGAGAGAGAGAGATCAGAGGGAGCTAGAGATCAATAGGGGCAGAGATAGAAATCAAGAGGGGAGAGAATCAAGAGGGGGAGATCAAGCAAGAGGGCTAGAGATCAAGAGGGCAGAGATAGAGATCAAGAGGAGAGATCAATAGGGGGAGAGAGAGAGATCAAGAGGGGAGCTAGGAGATCAAGAGGGAGAGATAGAGATCAAGAATCAGAGGAGCTAGAGATCAAGAGGGGAGCAGAGATCAAGGGGAGATAGAGATCAAGAGGGCAGAGAGATAAGAGGGGGAGAGATCAATAGGGAGAGAGAGAGATCAAGAGGGGCAATCAAGAGGGGAGAGAGAGATGAAGAGGAGAGAGATAGAGATCAAGAGGGTGTACAGATGAAGAGGGGGAGAGATAGAGATAGAGAAGAGAGGAGAGCTAGAGATAGAGATCAAGAGGGGAGAGATAAGAGATCAAGAGGGCAGAGAGAGATCAAGAGGGGAGAGAGAGATCAAGGGGGAGAGAGAGATCAAGGGGGAGCTAGAGATCAAGAGGGGAGAGATATCAGAGAGAGATAGAGAGGAGAGAGATAGAGATCAAGAGGGTGTACAGATGACAAGAGAGAGGAGGGAGCTAGAGAGATGAAGGAGAGATAGAGAGATCAAGAGGGGGTACAGATGACAAGAGGGAGCTAGAGATCAAGAGGGGCAGAGATAGAGATCAAGAGGGGAGAGATAGAGATCAAGAGGGGTACAGATGACAAGAGGGGGCAGAGATAGAGATCAAAAGGGGGAGAGATATAGATCAAGAGGGTGAGAGATATCAAGAAAAGGGGAGCTAGAGATCAAGAGGGGGAGACGGATCAAGAGGGGGAGATATAAAGATCAAGTGGGGCAGAGTTAGAGATCAAGAGGGGGAGTCAGAGATCAAGAGAAGGGGAGAGAGAGATCAAGAGAAGGGGAGCTAGAGATCAAGAGGGGGAGAGATCAAGAGATGGGGAGAGAGATCAAGAGGAGAAGACAGATACCAAGAGGGGCAGAGCTAGAGATCAAGAGGGGAAGAGATAGGGACATGATATAATACAGGCATTGTACTGTATTCTCAAATAAGTTCAGATTTAATATGATAAATCTCATTATTCTCCCTAAATAATAATAAAAACAATGAAAAATTCAACCATTTCATATCTATGTCCGTTATAGCATTATACAGTACAATACAGTGCGGTAAACTCATTAATGTACAGTATGTTCGTATTTTGAAGTGTGGCCCTAATCACTGGTCGAGACAAAATAAACTAATACGACTTATGGAAAGACTTATTGCAGATTGAAATTTTAACTTTTTTTTTCCAATCACATAAGCGTTTCAACAAAACAAAATTGAAAGTTACTGTAATTAGAGCTTCAGCTATAAAGATACAGTACACTGTTTTACTTACTGCAAGCTCACTCCTACACTGTAAGGTAAACATGAATAGGAAAACACCCTCTTATCTCCTACCTATCAACATTAAGTCTAGCAGCCAGCATGCGCCAGTCATTGCCTCGAGCATTAGGTGGGTCAAGACAGCGACACAGCTCCCAGCGAAGGCGCTGAGGAAGGCGGAAGGCTCCAGGCTCTGGGGTCAGTTCCACCAACGAAGAACACCCACTGCTAGATGTTACTGTCAACAACCATTTCATTGTGGTCATTATATCCATTGCATTTACATTGCATTATACAAAAAAATCACATATTGCCCAGTAAACGGGAATATACACTAATATTCTTTAAATGCTTAAAAGTGTAATGGAAAATGTTTGGTACGGAAACAGATAGGATTATATTACTTTGTGAAGGACTAGAGCATGTCAACTGACCTGTGGAAGTCCTTGGAGCTATGTGTGCTGGAGACGCAGTGACGGGGGCGTAAGGGAAATCAGAGTTAATTCTGATGACTTGTCGGTGTGTGGATGAGCCCTTCTGCTGGGACACCATCCTACACGCAAGGGGTGCCGATGACCCCTCAGTGCGCTCCAGGGTGAAGGAAGCACTCACAGGGTCGTTCTTGGCTCCCCAAAGAGTCTCAAATGATATTTCCTAAAGGAAGGATAATTGTCAATACTGTAAAGTGGAATTCAAATAAAATATTTTCCTGGAAAACCTCATTCACAGCCATGTTAGGACAAGGAGTCTTATGTATGTACCCACCTAGACTTGCCCTTAGATCAACTACAAAAACAATATCCATAATGGAACATGAAAGAACTACTGCAATCACTTACACATGACAAATACAGTACAGACACATAATTATCTCCTTATACAGTATCAGGAGTAGGCTTAAAATTCATTTTGCCGAGTAAGAAATGTAAAATTTCAACAAATAAACAGGCGCAGTATCAACATCCAAAGAGGTGGTTTAGGATTTTAGAGAGAAAACTGTGTGGATAAGATGACAACTAATATAAAATGTATTACCTTATAGTGTTGGCCTGGCCTGATCCGCCAGCCAGGGCCGAGGTCATCAAGGGTGAGGCAGAGGTTGGCGCCACAATCTTGCAGTAACATCATCTTTGGTTTATCCAGCAGTGAGGCCCCACGACGCCGCTCTTGCTGGGTCACATCTGACACACACACACACAACAATGTTAATAAGCAGCAAAATTATGCTGATAAAGTAAGAAGTCCTTTAATTCCAAGATTTGATTAAAGGTACAAAATAATGGATCATACAATATATCGTGAATCTTCCGTTTACATTTATAAGGAACTACATTGCTTTCCTGCTCAATATGTAAGGGGAGAAGCTTCTTTAAAACAGGAAGGACTGTCCGTATCTCCTGAAGGACTCCCACATGGTGTTACTCACAGGCAAGGGCGGCAGAGGTGTCGTGCATGACGTGGAGGGTGACTGTGAGTGTGCCTGAGGGTGTAGGTGGGGGCGCTGCTGTCACTACCTTCACCTGCTTCACTGCTGCGTTTGAGCCAGCACTCTCCCCTACCAGCACAAACTTCTGCAGTGACTCTGTCATCATGTGAACCTGGAGGAGGCAGATGGAGAGAGATTTACCCACATTTTTAAACTTCACCTTTCACTGTCCTTCAACATAATGTATAGTGTGCTGACTTCTCAAGCAACTTTCACTTAACACCAATTAAAATACCTGTACTGTACTCAAGACAATTATGCTGTTATGTTTAAAGATGATCTCTCACCTAGACTCACTGGCTGATGCTCTAACCTGATGGGTGTGGCCATGATCTATTAGGTGATGCCTTGGCAGAATTGGCTTGAGGCTTAAACATGAAGTCTGAAACCTTACCTGAGCACCATCAAGCTGTGTAAAAACTGGGGTGTCGATCCTTTCTTCGCCCATGGTGATGAGTCTGCTCCAAGGCTCCTCACTAGTAGAGGAGGAGGAGGAAGACGTATTTCCTGCAGAGGAAGAGGAGGAGGAGGAGGAGGAGGCTGTGTTGGTGGCGAAGATATGGAGCTGCCAAGCGGCGTGCTGCAGAGAGGCGCAGTGCTCAAAGGACAGCACGGCAGGTTTTAGCAGGGATACATTGGGCGGCCCACACGTCACCACGGGGCTCAGTAATGTCTGCCACGATGTAAACAAATAATTACAGTATTAATATTTATTGTGTGAATTATAAGTTATAGTAGAGCTGTTGCTACAACATAAATTAATAAATATTATTAGTTTTTATTGTGTTACGGCCTACGGGTAATTCATAACTCAAAGCAACGTCTGCCACATAGTAAACTCCTTATTTATAACTGTTTTACTTTCCCGTATGTCTGAATGTGATCGAGTAATCACACATAAGATATTAATGAGTTAAGATGTCAATAAAATATGTTTTATAATGAACCATGAGAAAGTCAAAACACACAAAGTAGGCATATCATTTACGTTACATAACCAAAATAATAGGTTTTCTCTGAGTATTTTGACTTTCATTTTACTTGTTCATTTATAAGGTATATTGTGAGTGGTTGCTGTAGCATTTATATTTCGATTCTGGTTATTCTAACAAATGAAACAACTACATTTACTCATGAATACAATGAAATTTCCATTCCTACTTAATTAAGTCAAATATGAGTTGAAATTGCCACCACAGAACTACTATGCTGGATAATAATGTAAACGTTTAATGGTACCTTTCAGTGTGGGGGTAATATGTGGCATGCTATCTCTACCTTCCACCAAGCATGCTAATGAGGTCGCCGGTCAACACACAAATACCTTGATTTTACATATAGGAAGGCATGGGAACAAAACATAATAACACCTGTAGAGAATTTGGTACCATGGACTCACCTGTCGGTCGGTGAGGGCTGGGGCTGGATGTAGGTTGGGCCCGACCGACACATACACCTGCTGACGGGTGTCTGGGGGCAGAGCACCACTGGGGATAGTCAGCACTACCCCATACTCAGCCACCACTAGTCGCCCCCCAACAGACGTCATCATCCCCCAGGCTGCCCCCTCAGCACCCACTAGCTCCTTTGGGGGCTGCAGGTCCCGGTTAGTCTCCGAGCATGATGCTGACGTAGGCCGTGAACCTGTGGAGGAGCAGCAGAAGGTTGTGTTGCGTGGTCTTGGGTGTGGTTTAACTAGGATAGTGTGAGTATGTTTTGTGGTGTGGCAATGGTACAATGACCTGCATCTTGTAGCGGGGGTCACTAAGGGATCTCATGTGCTGTAGTTAACTTATAAAGGTTAAACAAGGTGGTTTAACCTTAACATCACTGTGGGGTTAACCATTTGACCATCATCTTAAAAGGGTTAAAAGAGTCACTAATGCATCAGAGTCTCTCTCTTGAGTATAGAAAATAAAAAAGACTCGGAAAATGAAACACCATAATCTTTGACTAATCAAGTAATTCCCAAGAAAATATTTAAATCAATATAATATAATAAACCACAAAACACCAATAAAATCTAAAAACAAAAATAAATAAATTAATCCAAGTTTTTATTGAATTTGTACAGATAAAATCCTGAACTATAGTCAACAATATTTACCCAACAGACCTCTGCTGTTATAAGCTCGTGTTACTGAAAACCCTGTGAGATACCCTATAACACGACCTGCCCCACCAATCACCCAGAATGACCAATCACACAGCGACCAGCCACCCGCAAAGACCAGCCACCCACAACGAATGACCACCCACAACGACCAACCACCCACAAAGAATAACCACCCACAAAGAATAACCATCCACAATGACCAACCACCCACAAAGAATAACCATCCACAACGAATAACCACCCACAATGACCAATCACCCACAAAGAATAACCACCCACAATGATCAACCACCCACAAAGAATAACCACCCACAATGATCAACCACCCACAACGACCAACCACCCACAACGGCCAGGCTTCCAAGTGCTCTGTGGTTGGGTAGTTTGAATATACCCGTTAAACGTTATAATTGTTTAATACTACTCGGGGAAATCTGATCCAGTTTAATAGCCGCACCGCACTTGACGGGTTGCACCTCCCTGATTGACTGCTGTGTGTGTATGTGCGTGTGTGTGTCACCTGATCCACACTGTAGCTGACAACCGGTGGAACTAGTGGCAAATTATTGGGTTATGGGCCTCAGGTGATGCGCCACATACTGTATAAAAGAAGCCAAAAGCTGAAGCTAATGAAAAAAAATAGAATATATATATGATATGTTTTTAGTAGTTTAGAACTGAATGATCATTAATTTATATCATCAGCAGTCGGTTTCATTAACTCTTACTATTTCTTGGTACCGTAAATACACATAACATTGTCTTTTCACTATTCTTGTGTTGCTCACAGTATTCTTTCCGTAACGTTAATTTTGATCATCATTAAAGTATTACTCAAAAGTCACTTGGGGTACGAACGCTTAACCTTGTCGACAACGTGATATTACAGCTTCTATCTTCTGCTTTCTGTTAGTTTTGCTCAACAGCGGAATAAAATTGTATATAATAAGTTATTGTGTAGATCATTCTTTAGCAACTTATAAATAAATTTCTCCTCAACTTATCTTGGTTGTAATTTACTGTCATAAATACAAATTTTGTCTATCTGTACATTATATAAAGTCACAAAGGGATTTTGTACTACATTTATACTTGTGTAACTAATTATACAAAGTTATTGAAATATTTAACTACCTGGAGATACCGAGCAATACTGTACTGGTGTAGCAGACCATGTTACACCCTGGGAGGTTATACTCGGGTGTAGTCTGACCAACATCATTATAAACCCTAGCTTGTTTTACACTCACTCCCCCAGGTCAGAATCACCCCATTTGGTGTCGCCTTGTGTAAGTTTGTTTCTAAGGTAATTACGGATATCATTTCCTTATTTTCATTATTTCTTATTATTGTTGTTATCACTGCTTTTTTATTTCTTTTTTTAACCTGGGTATTTATTTTTACCTAAATTCGTATTCCTCTCGATGACGCACTATACTGTAGAGTGACTTGTGTTAATATCTGATCCTATCCTGAGAGACACAGAGAGAATTTCTTTACGTTTCAGGGAAAATAAAATTCTCACTACAATTACCACACCAGTACCACAACCACCATTACCACACCAACATCACAACCACAATTACCACACGAACATCACAACCACAATTACCACACCAACATCACAACCACCACACTACCACCATCACTACACCATCACCATCGTTACACTACCACCACCACCGCCCCAGCACTCGACCCCTCGAAATTAGCCGGCGGTGGACGTGTTCTATCTGTGCTGGACGAGATGTACACGAGGATTCTGATTCACCCCCGGGCGACCCCAGGGCGTGGGTGTGGGGAAGGGCTGGGAGGCGTGGGTGAGGAACACGCACGCCTTCCCCCCAGTACCCAGGATTTATATTGTATTATGAGCTTGATTTTCAATTCGGTGAAAAGTTTTCCATAATAAAATAATAACAATACCAACGAATAACATCATAACCCCACGGAATCTACAATATCACACGCCCACAAAGCAGCAGTGGCGTGGGCGTGAAAGAGGTGTGGACAAGATGGGCGCTGCTGGAATAGGAGGAAAAAACAAATGATGAATATACCATCTACACAACAAAGGGAGAATGAAGGGGGGGAGTGAGGGGGGGACTGTTACATCATGCAAATTATGATGTAACAAGGACAATCTTACTGGAGTCCGCCTCCTTCTTCGCTGGTCCAGAGTGATGGTGGTAGTGGTGGTGGTGGTGGTGGTGGTGGTGGTGGTGGTGGTAGTAGTAGTAGTAGTAGTTGTGATGGTGGTAGTAGTAGTGGTGATGGTAGTAGTAATAGTTGTGATGGTGGTAGTAGTAGTTATGATGGTGATAGTAGTAGTAGTAGTGATGGTGGTAGTAGAAGTAATAGTAGTAGTAGTTATGATGGTGGTAGCAGACGTAATAGTAGTAGTAGTAGTAGTAGTAGTAGTGATGGTGGTAGCAGTTGTGATGGTGATAGTAGAAGTAAAAGTGGTAGTAGAAGTAATAGTGGTAGTAGAAATAATAGTAGTAGTGATGGGGGTAGTACAGTAATACTAATTGAGGTTCAACATTATCAAATTATAAAAGAAACACAAATCTGACCAAGAACAAAGAGAATTAACAATATCTCTCCTTGTTCTCCTCTATCTCTCATTAATCTATTTATCTCTAACTCTCATTCTCTCTCAAATTCTCTCTACACTCTCTTAATCTTCTCATTCTTCCCCACTTCTCTCTTTCTCCATTTACACAACCCTCCTGCCTCCCCCTTCCTTTTTCATCTTTCTCTCCCCTCTATCTCTCTCTTTCTCCCAATATTCTCTCTCCTTCCTTCCCTTCCTCATTCTAATTCCATTCTCTCTCTCTTTCTCTCTCCCTCTCTCTCTCACGTCATAAACGCCCTACACAACATATATACAAAATTAAACTCCCTCTCCCCGCCACACTTTTACTCTCCTTCTCCTTGTTCGTCTTTCAATTAACAGCACCACGCTTATGTGTCCCAGTCTTGTTGAAATTCCTCTATGTTGTGTGTGAGAGAGAGAGAGAGAGAGAGAGAGAGAGAGAGAGAGAGAGAGAGAGAGAGAGAGAGAGGTAACTGGGTGGGTGTATCACTGGGTGTAGAGGTAACAGGGGCATGTATCATGGGCGTGCAGAGGTAACGGGTGGGTGTATTACTGGGTGTAGTGGTAACGGGGGTGGGTGTATTACTGGGTGGGTGTGTATTACTGGGTGTAGTGGTATTACTGGGTGGGTGTATTACTGGGTGTATGGTAACGGGTGGTGTATTACAGGTAACGGTGGGTGTGTGTAGTGGCAACGGGGTGGGTGTATTACTGGGTGTATAGGTAACGGGTGGGGTATCACTGGGTAGTGGTAACACTGGGGTGGTGGTAACTGGGTGTAGTGGTAACGGGTGGGTGTCACTGGGTGTGTAGTGGTAACACACCGGGTGTAGTGGTAACGGGTGTGTATTGCTGGGTGTAGTGGTAACTGGGTGTACATTGGGTGTATAGGTAACGGTATCACTGGGTGGAGGCAATAGGTGGGTGTGCTGGGGCGTAGTAGTGGTAACTGGGTATAGGCAACGGGGTGGGTGTATCACTGGTGTGGTTGTAACTGGGTGGGTGTATTACTGCGTAGTGGTAGTGGTAACCGGGTGGCTGTGGGTGTATCCGCGGTAATCCGTGGGTGTAGAGATAACGAGGTGGGTGTATCACTGCGTAAAGGTAACGAGGTGGGTTTATCACTGCGAGAGGTAACAGGGTGGGTATATTACTGAGTGTAGTGGTAACTGCGGGTGTATCACTGGGTGTGGTTGTAACTGGGTGGGTGTATTACCAACTGGCAGTGGTAACTGGGTGGGTGTATCACTGGGCGGGTGGTGGGGTGTGGTGGTAACTGTGGGTGTATCACTGCGTGTAGTGGTAACTGGGTGGTGTACCAGTGCAGAGGTAACGGGTGGGTGTCACCGGGTGGGTGGTAACTGCGGGTGGGGTGTATCACTGGTGTGGTAACTTGGTAACTGGGTGGGTGTATCACTGGGTGTAGTGGTAACTGGGTGGGTGGATCACTGGGTGGAGGTAACTGGGTAGGTGTATCACTGGGTGTAGTGGGAACGGGGTGGGTGTATCACTGGGTGTAGTGATAGCTGGGTGGGTGTATCACTAGGTGTAGAGGTAACAGGGTGGGTGTATTACTGGGTGTAGGGGTAACGGGGTGGGTGTACACACTATCATGGTACTCACTCGAGGTGGCCTCACTAGAGAGGGACGCTGGTGAGTCGCTCCTCGGGGGCTTCTCCAGGGAGGACACGGGCGAGTCAAGGCATCTACTGCCCACGCTGCCGTCTATTGTAGGGGTAGCTAAGGCCCTGGACGGCAGGAGCAAGTGACACGCTTCCGAGGGTGCGGGGGAGTCGTGACCACCCGGGCGAAGGTGAGGGACGTCGTAATGGTGTTCTGATGCCGGGGTGACACTGCCCGAAGGACCGCCCCCTCGACCACTGGCGGGGGCAGAGTAGTGTTCCTCGTACACAGAGCCCACCATGCCCACACTCGATTTGTGCCCACTGGAGACGGAGGCGGGGTCGCTGTAGGCGTGGTCATAGCATAGAGGCAAGGCCGTGGGTGGCAGAGGTGCCATGCCCACCCCCTGCGTCAGGTCAGGGGCCAGACCCTTGAGTTTCTTGGTGGTGTCCGGGTAGAAGGGCATCGGGTAGTCTGAGGGGGAGGGTGAATTATCGAATTAAAAAAACAACAACAGTACTGTACAGGTATAGATACAATGGGTGACATTAAGATCAACACCTGATGTTTAAACACCCTTAAGTAGATTAGGTTAAATTAAGTTTAGTATAGTTAGGATTAAGTTAGATTAGATTAGGTAAGATGAAGTTAGGTTAGCATTAGAGTGGTTAATCTTAAGGTGAAATAAGATGAGGTGCTTAATCTTCAGATGATCAGATACAGACATTACAAAACGACAACAGGAAACTCGTCACTTTTCAATATCAGTGTATCGTCATGACGCGTGGGAAGCTGCAACATCGGAGCTTCACTGACCTGAGGCGGCGATCTCGTACATGGGACCATCCTGGCGGTCCTTGCGGTTGAACTTGCGGAAGACAACGACGAGCAGGAGCAACACCAGAGGCACCAGCACCGCCAGCACCACGATCAAGGTGATGTCCTGCTGTACCGCCGCCGCCGTCGCTGAAGGAGGAGGAGGAGGGAGACACGTTACCAGTCAGTAAGTCGTAAATGGATCAAGAAGGTGATGGATGTACAGTATGTTTGTGTACATTATCTACAGCAGGTCATACGGACACCCTAATCCCGGTGGGCCCCAGTTCTAATGGGCCCTGGACCTAATGGGCCCAAGACCTAATGGGCCACAGAACTAATGGGTTCTAACTTACTTGGCCCCAGTTCTAGATCTACTTGGCAGCAGTACCGAATAAACCCTAGTCCTAATAGGCCCCAGACCTAATAAATCCGAGACCTAATGGGCCCCAGTCCTACCAGTAGTAATGAGCACCAGCTGTAATGAACCCTAATGGCGACTAAGAGGCCCCAGTTAACCTTAATGCTCCAGGTGATATACAGTACAGTAACACAGGTCATGAGAAAGGCATTATTTAAGGATATGCAAACAACATCATTTAAATAAACTCTACATACTGTATGGTAGACATTATTAAGGACATAGTACTATCGTCTCATCTTATCATCTTCCATTTACAAACTCCTTAAAAATTATCTCTTCACATCTTACTTCTCCTCCCCGTCCGTTTCTGTCTATCTCCCCCCACCCCCCCACCCCCCACCAGTTTCTCTCTCCTAAGCCTCCATCTTTCTCCCTCCCTTCTCTTTATCTCCCTCCCTCCCTCAGTCCGCCCCTCCCCTACCTCTTCCCTATCATGGGTGGCCTGGGGGCGCCTCTCCCCCAGCAGGGACGCGCTACTACAATGTTATCTGTCGCTTGAGCAAATTGTTGAAGGAGGGAGGAGGAGGAGGACGAGGGGCCGTTCTCCCCCCCTTGTCTCCTCTCTGACCTCAGTCTTGTTCTCTTTCCTCCCTTCTTCTTAGTCTTTCTTTTTCGATTCTTCTTCGTCTGTCTCTCTTCGTTCTCTTTAGTCTATTTCCTTCCATTACCCTTACTTCCCTCCTCTGACTCCTTTCTCTTCTCCTTCTTTCCTACCTCATCCTCCCGATCACGTCTTTCTTTTCCATCGTTTCTCTTCCCTTTCCCCTCCACCTCTCTTTCTACCTCTCAGCTCCTTCCTCCTCCTCCTCCACTTCCTTTTCTACTTTTTTTTCCTTCCCCCTCTTCCATCTCCCTCTCTGCCCTCAACTCCTTCCTCTCCCACAATCTCCCTTCCCTCCCTCCGACCCACACACTCACACCGCCCCTCCATATCACAATCAACCCCTCCCTCCCTCCCTCCATCACTCCCCTCTTCCCTCCATTTGTACCCATTTATACCCCTCATTTCCCCTCGGATTCATGAGGGGAAACTTAGAGAGTCACATAAATATACACCATCAGCATCCTCTCTTACACCCACTGATAAAGAATGGGGGGAGAGGAAAAAATGGATAAAGGAGGAAGAAGCGAGAAGGATAAAGGAGGAAGAAGAGAGAAGGATAAAGGAGGAAGAAGAGAGAAGGATAAATTAGGAATAACAACGAAGGAATAAGGGAGGAATATGAAGGAAATGAAAAATGGTTAAAAGAGGAAGAGAGAAGGATAGATGAAGGAGTAGAGAGAAAGATAGAGGAGGAAAAATGAGAGAGAGAGAGAGAGAGAGAGAGAGAGAGAGAGAGAGAGAGAGAGAGAGAGAGAGAGAGAGAGAGTAATAGTTGATAATAAAGAAGAAGAGAAGCCACAGAAAAGTCATTAAACGTTTTAAGTCAACAGTAATAAAGTTCTCAAGACATCTGAGGTAAATCATTAATAATTCCAGCGAAGTAAAAAATGATAATAATAATAATAATAATAATAATAATAATAATAATAATAATAATAATAATAATAATAATAATAATAATAATAAATAATAACAATAATAAAAACAATAATAATAATAATAATAATCTGGTAAAATAATCCGCTAGTCTTTTAGGCCCTAGACGAAAAAAATTATTCCATATTCCCTCTCATGGTAAAATCTGGTGTCAAAATCTGTATGGTGGACTAATCTGTGCTTGGTAAAATCTGGTGTCAAAATCTGTATGGTGGACTAATCTGTGCTTGGTGTAAGGAAATCTGTGCAAGGAGGCTGAGTAAGTAATGTGGTGACGGTGGGGATAAGATTTTAACCTTAAGCCCTTCAGAGTTAGTTAAATAACCTGTGGGCGTGGAGGAGGAGGAGGAGGAGGAGGCAATGAAGGGCAAGGAATTAACTGTGGGTGGGTGGAGGTGGACGAAGTGGAGGAGGAGGATAGAGAAGAAGAACGCTAAGGAAGGCGAGGATTAAATAAAAAGGGGGAAGGAAACGAAGGGTGAAAAAAAAAAGAGAAGAAAATAAAGATGAAGACGAAGAGCGATAGATACATACATACATACATACATACATACATACATACATACATACATACATACATACATACATACACAGTAACGACACCTGAGCAGTAATAACCTCCTTGCCTCATTACGTGTATGACAGGTGGACAGGTAAGACCCCAAGTGCTTGACGAAGGTGTGAGCTACTGCAGGAGGGCGGCGACCTTTGACCCCCGCTGGGAGAGTGAGGACCCCTGCTCTTTGACCCCCGCCGGGAGAGATATGACCCCCGCACGCTACCTCTTCTGCCCTGACATGATCTCCTCAGCCCCAGTAATTACCTGGAGGTTACCTGTAGTCAATTTCGGGGAGCTCCTCCTAACCATCCCTCTCCTCCCTCCAGAAATTGTGACAACGTGATTAACTAGACTGATCATGCCAGTAGCTAACATGGCCGCTACAGCTTGGGTGGTGAGCAAAGTTTCAGGATTCTCAAATTAATTGTATCGGCGCCTGAACTGCTCATCATAAGACTACCTGGGAGAGAAGTTAGTGTTAGAGTAGTTAATCTTCAGGTGAAATAAGTTAGGGTGTGGGGCCATCTTGAGGTGATCCTCCATATTCATTAAGTGTTACCGTTGAAACCCAGACTGTGGTAGACCTCACAGCACCAAGCACCACACACACCCTCAGTAGTAATATCTGTGAGCTAACAGTCTGTCAGATCACCAAGCACGCAAACACACACACACACACACACATTAAAAGAAAAGTAATTAAGCATTGTTCTTAAATTCTGCTCCGTGTGGGCTGGTCGGCACTCTACATCCAAACCAGATTACAGTTTAACCCACACTGGCCAGGCGTGACTCCGTGAGGGGAGGCGAGGGCTGGAGAGAGTTGGTGCCCAAGCTACTAAATAAGATATTGTACTGGTCTACAAGCACCATATCTTAGCTGTAACTATGGTGACAGTGACTAAAACTCAGTAATATTCAGCTATTAATCATTCTTCACAATGACGACTTTCAGGTGTAACCAAAATTGTGGGTATCATTAGAGCAGCTAACATCATACGTCTGGCAGTAGGTAGGCGGCGGGCCGGGTTTGGGAGGAAAAATTCTCTTAACTTAGTCAGTCAGTCACTCTGGACACACACTTATAGGGCTGCTAAACACAGCTAAAAAGACATTAAAACCTTCAACCTCCCCTAAAAAGAAGGTCAGAAATAAGCAGGTAGATGGTAGGTAGGTAGGTAGGTAGGTAGGTAGGTAGGGAGGGAACTGGCCATCCCCTAACGAGCTCAAGGCATCCTCATCACAAATTAATATAAAACTCCTTCAAGACGTGACAGCATCCTTCACAGGACCCCGGGAAGCCCGTACGAAGAGGAAGGGATCGTAAGGTGGGAAGTCCTACAACAGGTCAAGCCCTTTACGACCATCTGGGAGGTCTTGTAATGAGGGCGGGATAGCCTTTTAATTCCCCTTAAGGAGGTCAGTGTGTGGAGGGTGGGCTGAGGTGGAGGTGAGACAGGTGCGGGGGAGGAGGTGGAAGAGGAGGAGGTGATGGAAGAGGAGGAGGTGGTGGAAGAGGAGGAGAGGTTGGGGAGGTGTTGGTATAGAGGTGGTGATTGGTGGTGAAAGGGGAGGAGGAGTTGGTGGTGGAAGAGGAGGTACATGGGTTAGGGAAGAGGTAATTAATTATTGAAGAGAAGTGGGAATACTTAAGAGTAGCCAAGAAGAATGGAGGAGGAAAGAAGAAGGAGGAGATAATGTAAAAGAGGAATAAGATTAGGAGGAGGGAGGAAGCAGGAAGGAGGAGGAGATAAGAGGGTGAGAAGAAGAAGAAGAAGAAGAAGAAGAAGGGGAACACAGGAGTACAGATACAGGTGATGTGAGAGGGAATAATAATAATAACCAGGTAAGGTGAAGGAAATTGGGTTAAGGTATTACTGAGGAGACGGAAGGAAATACCCTTCTTGGGGTGGAGGAGGTGGTGGAGAGAAAGAGGAGAGGAGGGTGGTGGAGAAAAGAGGAGAGAGGAATTGGTGGGGGGTGGAGAAGAGGAGAGGGAGGAGGTGGGGGTGGAAAAGAGGGGGAGGAGGGTGGTGGTGGTGGAGAAGAGGGAGAGGAGGAGGGGGGTGGAGAAAGAGGGAGAGAGGGAGGGGGTGTGGGTGGAGAAGAGGGAGAGGAGGGAGGGGTGGGGGTGGAGAAGAGAGGAGAGGAGGGTGGTGGAGAAAGAGGGAGAGGAGGAGGGGGTGGGGGTGGAGAAGAGGGAGAGGAGGGGGGTGGTGGAGAAGAGGAGAGAGGAGGAGGGGGGTGGGGGTGGTGGGGGGTGGAGAAAGAGAGAGAGGGGGGGTGGTGGAGAGAAAGAGGGAGAGGGGAGGAGGGGGTGGAGAGAGGGAGAGGAGAGGAGGAGGGGGGTGGAGAAGAGGGAGAGGAGGGGGTGTGGTGGAGAGAAGAAGGGAGAGAGAGGAGGGGGGTGGTGGGGGTGGAGAGAAAGGGGAGAGGGAGGGGGTGGTGGAGAGGGAGAGGGGAGGGAGATTGGTGGAGAAAGAGGGAGAGGGAGGTGGTGGAGAAAGAGTGAGAGAGGAGGGTGGTGGGGGGTGGAGAAAGAGGAGAGGAGGGGGGTGGTGGAGAAGAGGGAGAGAGAGGAGGGGTGGTAGAGAAGAGGAACAGAAAGAGGAACAGGGGGAGGTGGAGGAAGAGAAGTAGGAGGAGGAAGATAAGGTGATGGAGTAAAAATAGGAGGAGAAGGGAGAGGAAAAAGAAGAGGAGGAGGTAGTGGTGGAGGAAGAGGAGTGTCGGAAAAAGAGGACAGAGTGAGTGTGTGATTTAGCATAACCTCTAATCTTTCACCCCCTTCTAGAGTGTGAGGGAGATGAGTGAGAAACTGATACACTGACACCCTGTACCTCTCCAGACCAGAAACTGACACTCTGTGCCTTCTCAGTCCATGAAACTGACACCCTGTACCTCCCCAGACCAGAAACTGACACTCTGTACCTTCCCTGACCACGAAACTGACACTTTGTACCTTCCCTGACCACGAAACTGGTACCCTGTACCTTCCTATACCACGAAACTGACACCCTGTACCTTCCTAGACCACGAAACTGACACTTTGTACCTTCCCTGACCACGAAACTGACACCCTGTACCTCCCCAGAACAGAAACTGACACTCTGTACCTTCCCTGAACACGAAACTGACACTTTGTACCTCCCCAGACCACGAAACTGACACCCTGTACCTCCCCAGACCACGAAACTGACACCATGTACCTCCCCAGACCACGAAATACACTAAATTCTCACCCCACAACGAGAAATGCCGAGCAAGAATAAATTATCACCCAAAAGAAACAAATTCTTTATCCCAGATGGACACTCCAGCCCCTAAATAAATTCCAATCCTACCACATAAAGGCTCCCTCAGGTCCACGTATCCTACTCACCTTCCTCTGTTGTGCTCTTGTCGCCGTACATCCTGACGGAGGAACCTCGACCATCTGCAGGAGAGAGAGAGGGAGAGAGAGAGAGAGAGATAGAGAGTCAATTACGATTTAGTTGCATCCCATCCAGGTGGCCTTGTCCCTAAATTACCTCACATCTGTAAACCTGTCATTAAGGGCGTCTATTGATATGTTATATATGTGTGTGTAAATAGGATTATCTTTTATTATTATTATTATTATTATTATTATTATTATTATCATTATTATTATTATTATTATTATTATTATTATTATCATTAGCTCTTGGATATCATATTAATAAGCAAGATAAGTTAAAAAGAATTTGTATATATTTATAGTCATATCTAAGTTAGGGCACCAGGTCACCACATGCCAATTATTATATCTGTCATACTACAAACATTTTAGGCATCAAGATTCTGAATATAAATTTTGGATGATGAATTCAATCGAAACTATGCCTCACTCCTTCCCTCCACACACACACAGCCGGAGGGAGGGTCGAGTGAGGCATCCATTACCAGGTATCACGACCTGGCATCCCCCTCGTCCCCTCCTTCAGGTAGAGGTTAGTGACCCGGCGTTTACATGGTCCTCCACACTGCCAGGTAATCAACCAACAATCGTGTCCGGCCATCATCGTCAAATAGACTTGATCCCGGGGACGTCTCTATGCCTTTGTAGGACCCCCTCACCCCTCCTCCTCCTCCTCCTCTCCCTCCTCCATGTCTCTTCCTTTGGCGGTTCTATGTTAGGTTTTATATTAGTTCTGAGAGGTTCTATACAACTCCTATGGCGGTTCTATATTTAGTTCTTAAGAGGTTCCATATTGGTTACACGACGCGATGGCTACATATTAATTCTTAGATGGGTTCTAAGATGTTCGTAGGATGGTCCCAAGACTGTCTCAAGGTGGTCCCAAGATGGTGGTCCCAACAGGGTCCTCAGAGATACGAGAGGGTCCAGAAGTAGGTAGGTAGGTCTTGGAGCCCTGGTGTAACGCAAGGGACCGCTGGCCTCCCATACACGGACCCTAAAACCCACATATATGGGAACGGTCGACGGGGACAGGACGTGGACGCCCTTCCCGTCCACCTCATCCGTCCGTCCACCCTCCCAGGATAATGATCTCGCCAAGATAATTCACTTCCTACAGCACAAAAAAGGGGAACTTGGTGACGTGTGGTGTAGGCTTGGTGAAACGTGAGGTGGTGTACGTGAGTTATTAGAAACACGGACCTAGTGAAGTATGCTGGTACAAGTTGGGTTGGTGTGTGGTGATGTGTGTGTCACCAGTAATACTGTAGTTTGGGGAGGTGCAACGGCTGCTTGGTGGGATGTGAGGCGATGGATCCGTGAGTCGTGTATGGAGATAGTGTGATGGCTGGTGCTTTTTGTGAGCTTGGTGAGACGTGGTGTCACATATCTGTGAGTCGTGGACATAATCACTTTGAGGTTTGGTGAGCGAGTTTGGTGAGGCAGGCGACTTAAGACCTGGTGAATGGTGATCAGAAGTCCTGTCTTTTCACCACCTTGAGTGGATCAGCGGCGTCCTGGTGACCAGAACTAGCGGTGATGGACGGGTCGTGAGGAGAGCGGGCGTAGAAAGGAAGAGGTGGAAAAGACGAGATATAAGGTTTAAAACACACACACACACACACACACACACACACACACACACACACACACACACACTGCCCCACACACACACACACACACACACACACACACACACACACACACACACACACACACACACACACACACACACACACACACACACACACACACACACACACACACACACACACACACACACACACACACACACACACACACACACACACACACACACACACACACACACACACACACACACACACACACACACACACACACACACACACACACACACACACACACACACACACACACACACACACACACACACACACACACACACACACACACACACACACACACACACACACACACACACACACACACACACACACACACACACACACACACACCTTCCTCTCTAACAGGTTCACCAAAACTGGCAAGAATACAACTGGCAATTTATCACCTCCCTACTGCTACAGGGGGTCCTCCGTCGACCTGAGAGAGAGAGGTGGGTGAGGAGCTGGAAGAGACCAATGCCAGGATTTCCAAAACTTCCCGTCAAATATTTCCCCCCCAGACGGGTGACGTGAGAACGCGTCTAATCATTTCACCTGAAGCCACGGAACAAAGATGGTGGGCTCAGCCTGTAGCAACAACAGCACAACCACCACCACCACATCATCAGACACAACAGTAGCTGTAACACCACTAGAAGAATTAACCAAACAAGCTCCAACTCGAACTGGATTACAAGTCCCAGCTCTCGGCAGCAAACTGCATCACGACTGCCTAGCGTGACAGTAGGTCGTCGGTAATCCAGTGCCTAACCCCCCCTTGCTCCTCCTAACTCTCTCACAACACACACGGCCAGTACACACCATACAATCACGGTGTAGTCCTCCAGCTGTCTCTCTTCCTCGGTGTCCGTGCACAGCGCCTCACAAGTCCAGCGGCTGCTAACATATTCGGGTCGTCTCTGGTTATCTGGTGTCTGACTTAGTAAACAGGAATTTTCGTTTTCTTTGCCGCCATCCGACACAGGTGAGACTAAAGGCTTTCCTGCCTTCGGTCATGTGGAGTCACAACAGCAGGTAGCAAGGGGGGAGGGGGGTGTGAAGAAGTCATCGCGTAGCTCATCGCTGGGTGTGGGGTGACAGAGTGAGGTGTGTGTGTTAGAACTGTATTGTGTCAAGATAACGAGAGTTAATTGATGGTGGCGCTAAGAAGCAAGGGGGGGGGGTTTATGGAAGAGGAGGAAGACTGAAGGGTGGACAGAAGGCATCTAGGGCTGGTGCTACTGTCTCCTTGCTGCCTCCAGGACGCCAGGCTCTTGTCCCCTTCACCTGGGTGCTGATTGAGTCACCGCTATCACCCTTTCTCTCCATATGCGCTTTACTACACCGATTCAGCCTGTCACCCTCACTCATCCTCCACCTGCCCTAATCCTCAACATCTGGTCCTAATTGAAACTCACCCCCTTCACTTTATTCTAACATGACCTATTCTGTGGCTTCTTAATTCTGTACGCCTGACTGTCAAAAATCTCTCAGCCCCGTGGCTTCTTAGCAAGATGACCTGACTTCCATGGAGCCTATCTAGCTTTGGGAAGTACTGGGCGGTTCAACCTAGATTTGGGCCTTAGCTGCTCTGGATCCTGTCCAGACGCCCTGGGAGAGTGCATGTGTTAGGGGTAGAAGGTCTCCCTCCCTCCTTCGTAGTCTCCTACCTATCCATCTCCTCCCAACGGGGACGATGGACTGGCCTGAATCAACGTGATTCACCGTCAGTCGGGTTGGGTTGGGAATATAAAGTTATGGTGAGCTTTTTCGGGTGTGGTTGTGGGCGGTGTGGTTGTGGTGGGCAGGGTGGTTTGAGGTGGGCAGGTGTGTGTTGTGTGGGCGAGTGGTTGAGGTGGGCAGGTGTGGTTGTGAAGGCTGGTGTGGTTGTGAGTGGGAGAATGTGGTAAGTATGTATTAATGGTGGACGTTTTTGCCGCAACCAGGTATCAATAAACAAACAAACAAACAAAACAAAGGTACAAACTAAGCCCACTGAAGGCTGTAAACAAACATCCACTTATCTGGCTATATGTATGTATGTTTATGTATGTATGTATGTATGTATGCATGTATGTATGTATGTATATTTTACACCTAATGAAATCTTTTTGAGAGGCATAAATTTTAATGAGCGTCATTGACTTTTTGTTATTTTATTTCTAGAGACAGTTGTCGTTATGTTTTGGTAACGTCACAGTGCCTTAACCCCCCTCTCTCTTTTTTTTTTTTTTTTGTTTTTGTGTTGACGGTAGAAAGAAAAAATTGGTTCTTTCTGGAGGGGGCAACAGGCAGCTTGTATGGCCCCCCTCCCTTCTTGTCGTGGTGGGGTGACCCTGTTCCCCTGGTGGGTGGCTGGCACCTGTCATGATGAATGGGGAGGGCAGAGATGAATGTTGAATTAGTGCCTACCTGGTTGGATGTTGGTCAGTGCCACTATTATCTCTCTCACACACACACACACACACACACACACACACCACCTGCCAGAGTCAGACCACCATGTCCAAGCAAGCCATCACCATGGTTTACATACCTCATCACAACCACAACCTGCCCCTGAGGTCATCACCACAAGTTTCACATCATCACCACATCCATCATCACATACTCTCTCTCCAGAGTGGCTCTGGTCATCCTGCATTTCCTCAGGTAACTCCAGTTTATCACCAGGTTCTCAGGTAAGTCAGGTCATCGCATATTCCTCCAGGTAACTCCGGGTCATCACCATATTCCTCCGTGCTCAGGTCGTCCCAGGTTCCTCAGGTCTCAGGTCATCGCCATATTCTCCCGTATGTCGGTCATCGCCAGTTTCCTCATGTAACTCCAGGTAAGCAATACGTAACTAG